TCATAAATGCATATTGTTTGAACGAACAAACCTCAAACGAAATACATATTTTTTTTGTTTAGTTCTCAAAATTAATTACTTTATATCCTGCTTAATAATAGACTGAAAAAATAATTTCTGTATGCCAATTTAAACTGCGCTTATAATCAAAAGAATTTGAACAAACATTCTGTTCAAAGGTAGCTTTGGTGATTGGTATGAACAATAATAGGCTGGGAGATCAGAGTGTGTTCAGAGCCTAGGGCAAGATTGCCCTTGTGCTGAAGATATATATATATATATATATATATATATATATATATATATATATATATATATATATATATATATATATATATATATATATATATATATATAACTACATGAACATTTAGTTTATTTTGTAGTGATTAAATATGTCATTTACCCGGGCTGTAGGAGTCTCGAACTCTGGTCCCCTAAGCCTGTGAGGCTGAAGCACTATTGACTGGGCTATGAGTAGTCTTATGGATTAAATATATCTAAGGTTCGAGAATATAGCAATTTAATGACGTTAATTTTAATATTATTCCTCAAACAGTTCCAACGATGCAAGAACTGAAATTAAAACCAAAAGGATGTTCTCTATAATTATTACCTTGTAATTATTGTCACAATATATTAAAACATTGAAACTATGATACATTTTAATATACGTAAAACAGTTCTTTTCGTTTTGATGTAATACATAATATCAATATAAAAGTGAATAATGTCTATATAAAAGCTATCAGACGGGGGATTTACCGAGCGGTTTCTAAGGCAAATCAAATTATTATATTAATATCATTAAGAACGTGAAGGACACGTTCACATGTCTGACCACAAGTCCAGATGAAGGAGAAGTTGACAATATGCATATCCAAAATTACTTTTCCTAGAACCACCTGTGATTGCAAAATCACTACACACAATTAGCTCCCCTACGGGCTCACTATAGCCCGTGCTACTTGGAACTTTGTTCCAGGTAGCGAATCTTTAACAACAACAACTACACACAGGGGGGGGGGGTATCAACAGCATTACAAGCCTTAAAGATCAAAATGAATTCTGCTAAATTTTAGGTCGTGTCTAAATCAACCTATTAGACAGGGAATTAAAGTATCGGTTCCATCAAATAGATGATGTATGGTTAGTATGAATACGGCGCTTTTTAATGGGATTGATTTGATTGATTGTTGGCGCCGGAGGCGGCTAGTTTATTGTGCACCCCATACCCATCCTGTGAGCGGTAGCGCAAAAAGCATTAGAGAGGGCACAAAAGGTCTTTATCAGACCTCAACTTAGATTATTATTACATAAACAATTTAATCTGCGGTGAACACATTTACTATGAGGGAGAAGAGGTCACTGATACCACCTCGTGTAGACGAAAACTAATAATTGAATACTCTTAGTATTACATACATGGATTCTCTATACTCTATGAAGCATGATATACTAGGACAATAAGGAACGGCAAGGACAGTGAGCAGCGGCAAGGATAATATGGAACGACAAGGACAATAAGGAGCGACAAGGACAATAGGGAAGAACAAGAACAATAAGGAGCGACAAGGACAATAAGGAGCGACAAGGACAATAAGGAGCGACAAGGACAATGGGGAAGAACAAGAACAATAAGGAGTGACAAGGACAATAAGGAACGACAAGGACAATAAGGAGCGACAAGGACAATAAGGAACGGTAAGGACAATAAGGAGCGACAAGGATAATATGGAACGACAAGGACAACAGGGAAGGACAAGGACAACAGAGAAGGACAAGAACAATAAGAACGACAAGGATAATATGGAAGGACAAGGACAATAAGGAAAGGACAAGGACAATGAGCAGCGACAAGGATAATATGGAAGGACAAGGACAATAGGGAAGGACAAGGACAACAGAGAAAAGCTCCTCCTTCATCCACACAATGCAGCGAGGAAGAGACGAATTAGAGGCGGTGAACATTGGCATTGTTGCGCTAGGCTTTGGAGGCAACGAATTAAAATGTTCTTTCAACATTTTAGACCAATCAACAATCTTTTTTCCCCAGTTACGTATATGACGTTTCTAAAGACAATCTCAGACTTCAAAGTAGACTCAAATTCGATCATTCTGGAGACCAGAAAGAATATAAAAATAATCACTGTTGATCTAGCTGCTGTTCAGAAAAATATAATATATATATATATATATATATATATATATATATATATATATATATATATATATATATATATATATATATAAATATATATATATATATATATATATATAAATATATATATATATATATATATATATATATATATATATATATATATATATATATATATATATATATATATATATATATATATATATATATGTATATGATATTATTCTCGTATTTATTTATTTAAGAAGGTACAATGCATTATCAGTTATTTTATTTTAGGCTTATCAGTTTTGACAAAAAACTTTTAGTTCGCCATATACAACTTCTGTTGGGATTTCATTAATTATTTATATAAGAATAAAGGAAACTTCCGAAAGCCTATTGGCCCGTACGATGCAACTAGTATTTATATCATTTATATCCACCAAAACTCTTCCATATATATACCTCACCTCGGCTAGAACGTAATTGAAATGGGAGTGCGCCCGACATGTTCGTATTAACTGGCAAACGGCTTTGGTTTCTATATTATATTGCTTATTCGCTTTCTTAATTATAAACACGAACGCCAGTCTAACGAAGCCTGCTGCAGGGAACGTTCAACAATTACCTTAGTTAAAGTGGAAGAAATACATAATAATACCTTTCCAAATTCGTTGAACTTAGTACATCGAAGCTGCCACTTTAGTACATCGAGGTTTAGAAAATTACTTCCCATACTGAAATTACCTTATACATGCTTAAAATTCACCATATTGATATAAATCTCAACGATCTAGATAATAATGTCACCTCTTCTCAATAATGTATGCAGATTAGGTATGTATCCCCCTAAAAATCCCTTGTAAAGGCCAACATCCCATTTTCACCGAGGCGCGGCGGTCTCTCATTATTCAAATGAGGAACGACGGAGGTCCCGCGTCACTTTGTCAAATATTATAACTACAGGTATAATGGAGACAAAATAATTGGTTTAAATTGCAGATATTGGGCATAAGCGACATAAAATGGTAAATATTATTGGTTTCTATGAATAAAGGGGTATCAGTGATGCCAGGGGTCTGCAATGACTTGCAATGACCGGCAAATTTAGCCAAAGTTCAAAGATCTCCAGGCGAGACTTTAACTACTTACTTACTGACAGTTGTCAACCCCGCTACTCGCCCTCATCAACAGAGCTCAAATGTTCATTCTCTGCAATCGCCAAACCTCCTGTTTATGATTGAAAAACGCATTACACACGATTTATAACTGATGAAGTTCGAATATTTCTGAGAGTGCTTCGTTGACGATCTCTGTTCGAATCAAAACTCTGTAAATGTGTTTATCAACCTACATACAAAACTACAAATAATTGCCAACAGAACCTAAACACTTAACCTAACCTAAATCTACGCCAAAATATCCACATTATGCTGATATATTAAAAATAGGAATTTATATTTGAGAAAATTACTTTGGATGGGCATGGGTCGGCGTCAGCTTGTACCAGCATTGCCTGAGGATAGTTTGAGCTGGGACTTAGATTGGACGAGCAAAGCCTGACGATAGGTTTCCAAGTTTTGGGACAATTGCTCGAGATGTTGTAACGTCAAAATGTAAGCTGTGAGGCAACAAGCAAGGCGAGACATTGCCGATAAATCAATAAACGTTAGCAAACCCCCCCCCCCCAATAGTTTCCGTATTAATCAACGCTCTGTGCCGGCCGAGACCCAACACCCAACTGGAAGCAGAGAATGTCACCATCACGTTCCTCAAACACAACCCAACTCACACATGAAAGTGTCGACGTTTCGGTCCATTTCTCTTCCTTCCATGTCGGACCGAAACGTTATAAATTCACGTCGAATTTCGCACTGGCACAAACCGTCTGCGAACACAGGAACAGAAGAATATAAGCAATCTCAGAAGTCGCATTAGCCCATAACGCTAATTATCTCGTATATACATACAATAGGCTGCCTGCAGCCCATACTTCATCCTGCCTTTTTAAGGTCAATAGGCTTCTGCAGTCCATACTTCATCCCTTCCTTTAAGCGACCGCGAGAAATTATGTCATAAGGAAACAGTGGCAAAGGAAGAAGTGGCCAAAATGGAAGGAGAAGCGGCAGAAAGGAAAGGGAAAGTGACAGAAAAGAAAAGAACTGTGAAAGAAGAAAGGAGACGTGGCCAAAATGAGTGGACGGCCAGGAAGCCTAGTAGAGGAGCGTGACAAGTAATGATGAAAAAAACGATTTTCCCCAAATAGTTTTCTTCCTGTATTTTTGTATATATCTTTTGCTTCGAAGGCCGAGTTTATTGACCAGCATCACTCTGTGAGTGAACATGCCGCCATAGCCGTGTCACTCATCCTGTGAGTGAACATATCGCCATAGCCGCGTCACTCATCCTGTGAGTGAACATAATACCATAGCCGCGTCACTCATCCTGAGTCAACATACTGCCATAGCGGCATCGCTCATCCTGTGAGTGAACATATCGCCAGAGCAGCATCACTCATCCTGTGAGTGAACATAACGCCAGAGCAGCATCACTCATCCTGTGAGTGAACATATCGCCATAGCCGCATGAATAACACCTCCAGACACAACTGGGACCAATTCAGCTGTCTCTAGTGAACAGTAAATCAAACAGGAAGACTAACATTCACCAATCTAAACTTACGTCAACTTGTGTGTGTGTGTGTGTGTGTGTGCACAGTAGGGGGGGGGGGGATCATCATTAAAGAACAATGTGCTTCACAGGGGCTTGAAATATCGTAGTATATAGGAATTCTCATTCATAATTCAAAACATAATTCAAGAATCTGAAGAAGAGCGTATTAGCGTATTGAACTCACATCAACGTTGAAACCTGCGACAACGAAGCTGTTCTTAGTGACGTTGTTAGCAGGGATATACTGGTAGAAGAGCTTGTCTCCTCTGTACCACTTGAGGCTGTAGAGGGTGGCGTTGTCTAGGCTATAGTAGCAAGAGAGCTCGGCTCGGGAACCTCGTACCTTGAACTCCGGCACCTCCACCGCCTGCAGCTCCAGGGCTGACCCGCACCCTGAAAGAGGGAAAGTCATCTGGTTGATTTGTTTGCATGAAACGAATACTTAAAATTATATTAGTTGACGTTGGTAGGTTGGTAAATGTTACAAGTTCCGACTACTACTGAGATAAGTATTTTTTTTAAGGTTATTTGAAGATATTTAAAATTAGATCATGATTAATATTTTACGGAGATAGGACGCAGATTTATTGGGTGAGAAACTACGCATTATAAGGCACTATGCCATCAGGACCGTTCTTTGAGTTATTAAGAATTTACCCGAGGGCCACCATCTATTTAGTGGCCACGACGGGGACAGGAAGCCGGCAGTTTGTCAAAGATCAACCCAATTTTCCTGAGAACTTTAATCAACTGAACTTTGAACTGCAGTAATGTCTTTGCATTTACGGTTTTAGCGGGTAGGCGGTTCCACGGGTTTATAACACTATGGGTGAAAAACCATCACCTGTTTATGCCCCACATTGTGGCTCGTTGAACTTGAAGCCATTACCCCATGTATGTGCTACATGTGACCTTATATAGAAGTGGTCAGGGTTAATATCCCTAGTTTGTTCAGTATTTACAAAGTTTCTATGAGACTTTTTCATTTCATGACAAGAACAGGACTTTCAAGCCCTATCATGTCTGGCTTTCAATGTTGTTAGTATTGTGACCCTTAACCTTTTCTGGCATGAGAGACCAGAAGACATTTGTGCTGGAACAGTTTTGAAATTAATGGACCCTGTATAAAACTTTGCACAGCAAATCGCTAGTTCATTGAGCAGCGTCACTCATCCTGTGAGTGAACTTATTACCGCCAGTGACAGTATTGAACAGCGTCACTCATCCTGTGAGTGAACTTACTGCCGTAGCATCATACACAATATACCCCAATAGGAAAAAACACCTATTCCATCTTTAGAAGGCTGGACGGTAGAGCGACGATTTCGCTTCATGCAGGTCGTCGTTCAATCCCCGACCGTCCAAGTGGTTGGGCACCATTCCTTTCCCCCGTTCCATCCCAAATCCTTATCCTGACCCCTTCCAAGTACTATGTAGTCGTAAGGGCTTAGCGCTTTCCCTTGAAAATTCCCTGCCTTCCTGTTCATCCTATAACTTGTACCCAGACGCACACTGGACTCACTTGAATGCGTCAAGTGAAGAAACTATCAAAAAAGATAGTTTACTGAACCCCATTCCTCAAGTAAGCTTACGTTACCTTTTAAAAATTAAAGTATTATTCTGTAGACTTATTTAGATTAAGGAAAGACTTTAGATAAGATTAATGTGTACAAATATTAGAAATGGTTTAAACTGCAGAATATAAATATGGTGAAAAAGATTATGAAATGGATATAATACACGAAACAATGAATTCAGAATCAGTTTGCATTGAGAAAAGAAACGGGTAAACGCTGGTTCAGAAATAGGGATTGGGCCGTAAACAATTTCGGTTTGCTATTGTGCTTAAAACCTTACTAGCCTCTGGAGGCTGATTAAGACCAACCAGCAAGCTATACTTTAGTTTCTAAACATAGTCTAGGACTAAAGTAAACAATATACACCGAGAAGCAGGGGAAGTACACCTTCCGATATTAATAGGAACAGCCTCGCCCTTATCAACAGGCTTGTGCGTGCTCCTTTTTTTCCTACTCCTGTGAGTCCTGTAAGGGAGAGAAAACACCAGGATTTCAAGATAATCTTGCTAGTGACCGAACCTGCTTTGTTCGGTCAATTACTTTGACTGTGTAATTATTTATATAAATAGCTAGCTTGGTAATTAATGATTCGTATAACGATATTTAATTATGTTTTAGATGAGGTCCATTTTCATAGCGTACATGTGGACAAAATAAAACGGTTGTCCTTGTGTATATACGAAGTATGTGCAAAAGTAGTTCCAGCGTAGCTCAGTGTGTGTAAATATGAATTACTTGAAAAGTTCAGCTCGGGGTGTGTAAATCCAATGTATGTGAAAAAGTTCAGATCACTACGTGTAAATATGAATTATTAAAAACAATTTAACTCAAATGTAAGAAAATATATTTTTTGTTTGTAAAAGTTGAACTCATTATGGGAAAATTCCTTTTGCCAGTACGACTTAATCTGCAAGTTTTCGGGCATTTGTTATTATCATTTTTCACTGAAGACTGAAGAGTAATCTAAATGTAATATAAACCTTTAAAAGCCTAAAATACCAAATTTAGTCTTTCGTTAATACATCAAATAAATAATCAAGTGTGAGTGTAACACCGACCTTACGGGATGAGGTCGGTGGTGATGCATGATGCAAGTCATCATAGTTACATTGATCTTGAAGGCCATTATGGTAGGACCTCACCCTTGATGGTAGGACCTTACCCTCGATGGTAGGACCTTATCGATGGTAGGACCTCACCCTCGATGGTAGAACCTCACCCTTGATGGCAGGTATTTTCTTTAACTCGTCAAAACCAAGCCATCTATATTACCATAAGGACGGATGCTCTTGCTCTCAAAAGTAGAAGGCGTCACTGAAGCCCTGGATATTCTGGGTGCTAAGGACAAGAGAGCATCAACCAATCCCGCGGGAGACGGCGAAATACTAAGTAAACACCAACGATCATTTCGGGGAAGCGATGAGCTTACCTGAGAGTTGCACTGTGTAATCTCAATGTTGATGTTGCAGATCTACTGGGGTAGTTTGCTCACGTTCGCCCATTGTATTGTATTATTCTCTGATATACCGTCCTCTAAACGGCTCCAGCTCTATGAATTTGTATTGACCACATTAAAAAATATGTTCATGTATATTCCTATCTGTTTGCTCTTTCATATACAAGCAAGACGCTGGTTTTGTTCGTCTCTCTATATTGGGTGGTTATGGGTCATTACCACAACACACACACACACACACTGGTTGAGAGGCGGGACCAAAGAGCCAGAGCTCAACCCCCGCAAGCATAATTAGGTGAGTATACTGGTGGGGTGTCTGGTAGCTGAGTGGACAGCGCATAGGACTCGTAATTCTGTGGCCTGTGGTTAGATTCCCGAACCCGGCAGAAACAAATGGGCAAAGTTTCTTTCACCCTGATGCCCCTGTTACCTAGCAGTAAACAGGTACCTGGGAGTTAGACAGCTGTTACGGAGCGGCTTCCTGGGGGGGGGGGGTGCATGGAAAAATAGTAATTACTTACAGTTGATTGATTGATAGATGAGACGCGGGCCGAGAGAGCAGAGCTCAACCCCCGCAAGAACAACTAGGTGAATACACACAAATATACACCAAATATACCGAATGGGAGATGAAGTCCTTCACGAAACGGACAGAGAGAAGGATCTAGGAGTTGATATCACGCCAAACCTGTCAACTGAAGCCCACATCAAAAGAATAACATCAGCGGCGTATGCGAGGCTGGCTAACATCAGAACTGCCTTCTGGAACCTGTTTAAAGAATCCTTCAGAACCTTGTATACCATATATGTAAAACCAATCCTGAGGTATGCGGCCCCAGCATGGAGCCCATACCTTGTCAAGCACAAGACTAAGCTGGAAAAAAGTTCAGAGGTATGCCACTAGACTAGTCCCAGAACTAAGAGGCATGAGTTACGAGGACAGACTACGTGAACTGCACCTCACGACACTGGAAGAAAGAAGAGCTCGGAGAGACATATGATCATCTTACGGGCTCACCATAGCCCGTGCTACTAGAACTTCTTGTTCTGAGTAGCTGAATATTAAACAACAACAACATGCTCACTACATACAAAATTCTCAGGGGAATTGACAGGGTAGACAAGAATGGACTCTAACATGGGTGGTACGCGAATAAGGGGACACAGGTGGAAGCTGAGTACCCAAATGAGCTACAGAGACATTAGAAAGAACTTTTTTAGTGTCAGAGTAGTTAGTAAATGGAATGCATTAGGCAGTGATGTGGTGGAGGCTGACTCCATACACAGTTTTAAATGTAGATATGATAGAGCCCAGTAGGCTCAGGGATCTGTACGTCAGTTGATTGACAGTTGAGAGGCGGGACCAAAGAGCCAAAGCTCAACCCCCGCAAGCACAACTCAGCCTTCTCTTCTCTCTTTCCAGCCTTTCTGTATCCCTTTCCAGCCATCCTATCTCTCTTTCCAGCTCTGGTATCACTATTCCATTCCATCAGGCAAGGGCATTGAGAGCTTCAATAATAAATAAATTGTTAAAGAATACAATTGAAGCATTACAAAATTAGAGTCAAATATATTTACTGGAAGCCCCATACTGGAGCATACAGTGTCTGGCTGTATGAAGCAGGTGTGTGGCTGTATGGAGCAGGTGTGTGGCTGTATGTTGCTAAGAATGTACAGAGCGACTCGGCGTCGTACTTAGATTTTCAGGGCCAGGATTCTTTAGGCATTTTCCCATCCACTTATGAAGAAACCCTTACAGATTTCCTTATGGCGGCTTTGCTTAAATATATTGAACACTTTACTATCTCTGGTCACCATCCACTAGAGGGGTCACCATCTCTAGTGGCCTCGATGGGGACAGGAAGCCACGAAGAACCACATATAATTAAATTCTATCAAAATACGTATAACTTTTGATCCGTACCAGAGTACTTGAAGAACAGAATTTAGTTCCATTTCCGGCTAAAAAAATAAATACCAAATTATATGCCGTTAAATTGAACTCCAAATATAATTACAAATTGTCACGCAAGCCAAAACGCATGTTGTTGTTGTTGTTATTAAAGATTCGTTACCTGGAACAAAAAGTTCCAAGTAGCACGGGCTATGGCGAGCCCGTAGTCCAACAAGCAATTATCCAGCACATCAACAGCCCGACGGAGCAGGGACGCGCAGCATCACCGTCCATAATCAGTCGTCCAATATAATGGCCGACTTAATACCAGGAGCCTCATTTGTAACCCATATGAGCGGAGGATTCCTCGTTCGATACCCATACCGCTCGCTAAAATAGAGAGCGCGCCGCGAGTCTCTGCTAATGCGTTCTATTCGGAAGATTATGACTCGGATTGGAATCCAATTCCGCTTCAATTCTGAGGATTCAAGCTTGGATTCAAACCAGATACGAGTAATCAAATTTGTAAACAAAAAAAAATAACCGTTAATTCCTGGAAATACGCAGTTGTTTTTACTTGTTGGATAATATCAAGTAATTTACAACTAAAATCAAGAGTGTGAACTTCTCAGCTTGCCCAGGCTTAGGAAAACATTGGGTATTGTTGCAATAATGATTTACTATTTGATGTAAATTATTAGGCTTGGGGAAGACATTAATACAGAGGGATCATACTTCTAAATCTGTATTTAGATTATATACTGCATAATTATAATGATAGTGTGTCACGCTGTATTCTGACTTCCTCTTATGTAAATAATGTAATACAATTTTCGTACACGAACTGAATTATAAATGTACACTGATTATAAATGGATTATAAATTGTCACAACCATTGGTGTTCCGTCCCACTTGGCTTGGCATGGATTTGGTCGGTTACATTATTTACTTAAATCATTAAGTGATGCTTGAGAAGTATTTGAACCCTTGAAACTGTACTTCTAAAACAACACGGCTGCCAGTGGTTCACACAGGAAGGAAGTGTGGAAATAAAACTGGTCGCTCCTTGTATATGTAATGTAAGGTTGAAATGTTTGAACACTTCTGCTAACTATTGTGGAATAATGCAATTATTCATAACACATTAATTTTTAGAATTGTTTCCATTTGACTACTGAGGGAAAATGTAGTACCTGGAACTAGGTTTTTAGTGAAAGCTAATTGAAGAGATACTAACTTTAAATGAAAACTAAATGTTAGTGGAAGACCTGATAGATTATGGAAGGTTGTTAAAGTTAGGAATATAGTAGCAGTAACGTGGTGGATATCAAATACAGCAGATGAGCTCAAAGAGTGGACTAGGGGTTCACAAGCCCTGATGTAATAGCAATGGCAGAGACGAAAACAACTGAAATGCTCAATGACATAATGCTTGGGTTCAAGCCTCATATAGTGGAGTGTCCAGTCCAATCTGGACTGAACGCTCTACCGTCCAGGCCAGATTGTCAGGTGATGTGACAATCGAAACAATAAAGACTTTTGAAAAAATTATTATTGAGGAAGGAAAGACCTGTAGTGACTTCATTGTTTAAGCCATTTAAATGGAGAGAGAGAGAGAGAGATTGTGGTGGCCATAACCTACAATTCTTCCCTCCCCGAAGAATTACAAGAGGTTAAGAAAAATGAGTCTGAAAACATGATCCCGTGGAAACAACTTTTAAGGAATCGATGAGCTAAGTTGCTAGTAATGGGAGAATTAAACTATTTCCAAATTGATTGGGAATGAATGAACCCAAGAGTAAAAAAAAAAATGAAAAGCCATTAAGTTGATGTAAATGACAATAAATAACTTGGTGATGCAACATGTCAAGGCAGGAAGAAATAGCCGAGTGAAAAGGTGATGAACCAGCACTACCGTATTCGGTCTTCTCGCAGTACTCAATCCTCATTGACAGCATTGAAAATAGCTCGGTCGATAAAGCTCCGGCCTGACACGCATCGGGTCCGCGGTTCGAGCCTCCTACAGCCCAGGTGAATGGAACAGCATCGAACAGTGAATGCCAATGAGAGACCCTGACAACTACGTTTTAAGTATTAGATACGCATAAGAAGGAAAACTGTAGACATAGAGAGGTCCAATAGTACAAGAATAGATTTAGCAAGACTTAGATTTCCATTAGTAAGTAGAAATAACGAGAAACTGAAGGAAGATCCACTTAGCCAATTAGGAACAAGGGAACCAATAAGATGGTTTGACAGTGGTGGAAACTAACAAGTCAAAGATCGTAGAAGAAACGCACAGAGCATATATATGAGTGCTTCATGTTGAGATATAGTCATATGGAACTTACCGAACAAGAGCAGCAAGAGAATGAGATGAGCTCTGGGAGTGTGGGAGTGGGCGGGTGGAGCCATGTTGACGCCTATGGGCGGGGGCGGGTGTCACTCACGGGGCGGCCGCCATCCTCACGCCCGCACACCTGCTGGTCACACACCTGCTGGTCAACACTCTACATCAGTACCACTGCTGATCAATACACATCTATTAATCAATACACAGAAGATTGATCAACGCATTGCATGAAAAGACACACACTTAAATCCTCGATCAAAACACTTAAACACGCATAAATACATAAATGTTGTATAATATGGTTCAGCTTGATCTTGAAATAATGTAATTATGCTAAATTATTTTACAATCTAATTTCCGTCTCGGTTTTAGAGCGTCTAAGATGATAGCTGACTGACCAACCATTAAGTTTGGTGCTGCTGTAGACAAAAAGTATACTTTTGTCCTGAATATTGTCCTGGAATATAGAAACTGAGAAGAGGGGGAGGTGGTATACCTCACAATGGATATATCACTCATATTCCTCAATTATAATTCCTTCAGCCGAGGCACGTAGCTGCCTTTATTTCAACAAATAGTTTTCAACTGACGAAAAAAAACTCAGACTCCTAATGTTAATTTATATTTAATTTTCCATCGGCCAAGATCAATAACCCGAACGAAAAATTTTTTTTATTTAAAATATCTAAATATATATAAAAAAATGGGGGTTTAATCCAGAGATAATACAATAGGTTGTAATGATTAGGAAGAATTTAAAATGTTTCTAGTTTTTTTTTTTATGTTAAGAGGTATGGTTTTCTGGTGGTACCTTAAGACACCTTAATTGTTTCTTGGCAACGAGTGTGTGTTATTTGGTTAATTGCCCGGATGAGTCGTTAAGCCGGTGGGACTATGTAATGCTTGGAAGAGATATGAGGACAAGGAGCTGGGGTATGAGGACAAGGAGCTGGGGGTGTGAGGACAGGGCGCTGTGATATGCGCTTCTATGCGCATATCACAATGTCTATAATATACGCAGACAGAGGAGAGATGAGAGGAGAAATAGAATAGAGGAGGAGAGAGCCGAGCGAGAGGAAAAGAGAGAAGAGTTTGATGACTGAAGAGATTGAAAAGGATAATATGAGATAAGAGAAAATATAAGAGCAAGGAGACATATTTGAGAAGAGATAAAGAGAGATGTGAGAGAAGAGAAATGAGAGAGAAGAGAAGAGAGAGAGAGAGAGAGAGAGAGAGAGAGAGAGAGAGAGAGAGAGAGAGAGAGAGAGAGAGAGAGAGAGAGAGAGAGAGAGAGAGAGAGAGAGAGAGAGAGAGAGAGAGAGAGAGAGAGAGAGAGAGAGAGAGGGGGATACAGATGTTAAGCTGGCAACACTTCCCCCAGAAGTGAGGGGGTGTGTTTACACCTGTTATATGTTGTATATACTGGTCCCATACACAGCCGGGTGTGCTGGTGGTGGTAGTGTGCTGGTGGTGGTGGTGTGCTGATTCTTCACCACACCACCACCACCACCAGTCATCATCCAAAATTATGAAATAGTTTTTCTGGCTACTTTTTCTAGAATCTTACATGGGACGCAGGTTAATGGTCATTAGTACTTCATATCTGTCCTCTTTCTTGAATATTGGACCTGCATTTGCCTTTTTTTCACATTTCTGGTAGTTCTCCCATCTCTAATGTAATGTTAAACATTATAGTTTATGGGTAACATCATATGGCCGCAGCTTCTTTCAGTACCCAGGGGGATATCTAGCCTGGGCTTCCTGTTTGTGTTGCATCCACTTCCGCCTGGGACCTTTTTTACCTATTTTTCACTAACTTTAATTGTCTTTTGTTGTTTCAGGTCGTTCGTTGTTAGCCCTATTTAGATTTCATTCTTGTTCTGGTGTGAAGACCTCCTGGAAATTCTTGTTGAGTTCTTCACACACTTCTTTGTCATTCTTCGAGAGTGTTCCTCCCTGTCCCCGCACAGTCTGGTCACATGGTCCGCTATGTGGTTCAATGAGACATCAGAACCACACACTGAGGTCCACTATATGGTCCATGAAGACATCAAAGCAGAAACCACTTCCGTTTAGTGGGAGTATTGACAGCCATAACATCTTCGTCTTATTTAACGTGAAGTGTAGAAGTGCTGTCCCCCCTTCTACACTTCCGCCTTCTCCACTTCCTTCCTCAGCCTCTACGAAAACGACCTCCAGTAGCCTCTCCGAAAAAAGTCGCCCGCGACATATGTTGTTTGGTCTCCCGGAACGAGGTGTCCTAAACTGCCTGCTGGATCCTCATCCACTGATAAACAGGATATACATCGGCGGGCCAGGCCTCAGCCTTTCTCAGACTTCACACACTCTCAGGGGCGTCCACCACTCTTGTATTTTTTGTTTTGTTTGGGTGCAATTTCTTACAAATGTATTAAAATATAACCCATTCTGTAAAAGGAAGGTTCTTTTGCGGAGTCTAAATGTAGATAAGTTGTCTTTTGAACTGCCGCATCGCACCCGCTCTTCTCTTCTCTCCTTTCTCTAGCTCCCACAGCGGAATATTGAAACTTTCTCTCACTACCACAGCGAGACATCATGAATCTCTCGGTACACTTATACTTTCCTCCCTCATACAACACGATCGTCTTTCAGTGTAAGGACCCACTAAAAACGCTCCATGCAATAACCATCAATACCCGAGCGGGAAGGTTATGCCGGAATATCACTAATGGACTCTCAGTCACATCAAATTGTAATAACACAAAAATAGCTAATTGAAGTGTGTGTGTGTAAGCTACACCGAAGCACTCACACTCATAAACCTGTGTTATGACTTGAAGGAACTGAAATATTTCATGCTAATAGATAATATCTATGCAAGATAAAGAATGCAGATGAGGAGTCACAATAACGTGGCTGAAATGTGTTGACCAGACATTACACTAGAAAGTGAAGGGACGACGACGTTTCGGTCCGTCCTGGACCATTCTCAAGTCGATTGCGATGAAGATAATGAATGGTCGAGAGTGGAGACCAGACGCTTGCCGCTAGCCACGGCAAACTTTGCAGGGTGATTGGTTCGTGGTTTGTCAATGTTGGTTGGGGTTAACCCCCATTGCATGAAATGGCAGTTGATACTAATTTGCCTAGCTTTTATTAATGCTTAGTGAAGATGATTGTAATGAGGAGGGAAAGTGGCAAAGGGTAAGGAATGTGGTGAATGTAGTGAAGGGTAGGGAAGGTGGTGAAGGGTAGGGAAGGTGGCGAAGGGTAGGGAAGGTGGTGTAGGGTAGGGAAGGTGGAACCAACATGGAAGCAGCAAGAGGAAGTATGGGCCAATAGGCCTTCTGTAGTTACTTCCATTCTTATGTTCTCATACCCATTGTTTCGTGTTCTGTCATAGCTTTGTCACCTCACCCAAAACGAGTATAAGTATGAATGTATTTTATATGTAAACTAAGTCTTTGAAAATGTAATAAGCATTACGAAACGCGTTCAGGCGTCGCGTCAGACCGGGAATAAAGAATGAATTTTGTAGAGTTAATATATCAATTACCCTCAACAATGAAGAAAAACGTAAGAAATATTGAGAAGATTCGTATTAGAATTATTAATCTTACCCTTTCGGTCATATTCAACAACACATATATTAGAGACGTTATTGTGAGGTGATGGTGAGTGTCTCAATAGTGAGGGAGGGAGGGCGGCCGGGAAGGGGCTCGACCACAAGGGGAGAGGACGCAAGTTTATGAGAGGGGAGAAGGGAGAGGACCCAAGCTCAAGAGAGGGGAGAGAGAGGGTGTAGATGTGAGGGGTGCCGCTAGAGACGCAGCTCACTGTTGGGGCTTCACGACGCTGACACCAGAGTACGGGAAGCCTCCACACCTGGGAAGTCTGCACACCTGGGAAGCCTCCACACCTGGGAAGCCTCCACACCTGGGAAGTCTGCACACCTGGGAAGCCTGTACACCTGGGAAGCTTCCACACCTGGGAAGCCTCCACACCTGGGAAGCCTTCACACCTGGGAAGCCTGCACACCTGGGAAGCCTCCACACCTGGGAAGCCTGTACACCTGCGAAACCTCCACACCTGTACCTCCACCCTACTCCTCACCATAGTCCTTTTCAGTCTTTTCTCATTTGAAAACTTATTTTCCGGTGTTAATAAACGTCTGACGATCTGCATCCTTAAGTCTTTTTATGTTAATTTCCTCGTCTTCTTATATAGATACCATATAGTGTCCATATAGAAGCCATACACTATATGGTATCAATAACGAAGTCATTGATTAAACTATTTAGGAACCCTATACAGTAATGACGTAGAAACATCATAACCATATAGAAACCTTATTTATAATAACTATAGAAATCGGACACAGACTAAGAAACACGTAGGCTAACAGACTGATAAAACACACGAACTGATACACTAACAGACATGTTAATTAACTCACAGACACGTTAATATACAGACTAACAAACACACTAATTAACTCACAGACATGTTAATACCAGACTAACAAATACACTAATTAACTCGCAGACATGTTAATACACAGACTAACAAGACACACGCTAACAAGACACACTAACAGACACACAGACACATAGAGTCGCAGCTCACATAATAACAGACACAGACATAGACACACATTTTAGAATTTCATCAACACTTTACAATGTTTCATAAAATATGTATTTCCATTCAATTACCAACATAAGTTTCCTTCACAATAGAATCATATTGAAACATTTCATATATTTTTAAAACTCTCAAAGTACTTATTTTTCATTAAAATTCCTGCGAGATATTTTTTTCTCTTACGAGTAATGTTCCGAGATGAAAAATCTATTGTCAGGGGGCATATCTGATTGATAATGAGGTAGGGTAGTTGTGGTAAGTTGTTGTTGCTTGTTTGCACTTGTTTGTTTCAACAAATATTATCACTTTATTAACTTTCGTTAAAGGCTCATTAAGCATTAACCCATTGCGAAACATTTGCATCTTTGAACAATCAGAGTGGTTGTGTTTACGTTGTTAAGTGGTTTACGAGAGTTGTAACTTCACAACACGAGGTTGTTATTGTTATAGTGATTCAAAAGTTATAAAAGTGTTTAGTAAGTGAAAAACAAAGCCACAATGTCTAGTGAAAGA